TTTTTTTTTCTAAAAAAAAAAAAAAAAAAAAAAAAAAAAATCAATGGAAAAAATATCAAAAAACTTGTTTTAGAATTTGTTACCCACAGTATTGAGTACTAAATTGAGCCTGATGCTTTTGTGCAAAAGAAACAAGATAGAGCATATTGTAATGTGGCTAAACATATTCAAACATTAACTATTTACCTAATAGAGTAATTGATATGGGATTATAAGTTTCTAATTCATTCTGTAAACCAGATCCAGGAAGATTCTTAATGGAAAAGGAAGAAAACACTGTTAGGATAGTGACAGGCCATCTAGTTACATACAGAGTCTATTCTTAGTTTTGTTTGAGTGTCCAGCTCTGGCCTTACTGCCTTTGTTGATGAGTACTGGGTGGTTGTTGTTTCCAGATACAATTTATGATGAAGATGAGGTACTGTTGGCTCTTGCTGAGCAGCTGGGAAATTTCACCGGCCTGGTGGGAGGTCCCGACTTTGCCCACTGTTTGCTGGTGAGTATATTCTGCCTACCCTCCTTTTAGAACTTTTGCAGTATAAATGGTTCATTGTTTGGTGATAGGCACACTGCAGCATTTTTTATGCAGATGTTTTTATGGATAGTCCCAGTGTTAGCTGTGGAGAGAACAGATAATGTAGGCCCTTTGGATTCAGTGAACCCATTCTTATTTTTTCTGACTGTGCATGTAGTTCCTCTTTTCTCGTCTGCCTCTGTAGAATTACTTGTTAGTTTAGACTTTGGGAGAAGACTTGATTTTTCTTTTTTTTTTTTTTTTTTTTATGGTTCCTCCTCCTGCAACCCTGAAGTTGGAATCTTAATTCTCATCTAGCAATGTCGTGACTTTGGAAACGTTTATACACATACACATAGCTTTCTTTCTTTGCTTGTAAGCATAACTTTTACTTCTGACTTACTTTGTGGATTTGATGAGTTCAGTTTAGTTGACAGTTATTAAGAGCCCACTGTATCAGGCACTGAATCTGCAATGTTGACGTGAAAGATGACCAGTGTGAATGGAATGAGGTCTCTTGTCCTGATGTGTCAACAGATAATTACTGTACAGTGTTAATGGAAAAATAGACACCCATACAAGGTACCCAAGTAATAGAAGGAGAAAGGGATTAACCCAGAGTGACAAGGGAAAACTTCCTCTTAGGGTTGTCTGAACTAGGTTTGAAGGGTGACTAGGAATTTGACAGTTGGACAAGATAGGGATGTATGCTTAAATGCCGTCTGTATGATACTGACTCTTACGATTTCTGTCTCTGCCTCAAACCTTTCCATGGACTTCCAGACATAGATATAGAAGTATATTTATGTATTTGTCTCTATATCTGCCTATGATTTTTCTACTTAGATATCAGACAGGCATTTCAAATTTAACATACCTAAAACAGAACTCAGTTTTCTTCCCAAAATATGCCTTTCCTGTAGTTGTCCCATCTCAGTAAATGGCATCACCGTCTACCCAGTTGCACAAGCCAAAACCTAGAAGACATTTTTGACTCTGCTTTCCCTAATTTTCCAAATCTAATCCATTAGTAACTCTTGTAGAGTCTATGTATATTCCAAATCAGTCCACTTATTTCCATCCCCACTTCCACCTAACTCGTCTTTCCTCTAATCTTTTCAGACCATATGATTTTCCCTCTAGGTTACTGCAGTAACTTCCTAAATAGTTGCCTTCCACTCTTGCCTCCCACCCACCCTTACAGTTCACTCTTCACCCTACAGATGGTTCACTCCCTGCCGTGGCTGTTAGAAGACCCATATTCCTACTATAGCTTGTACCTTAGCTTACAAAGCCTTGACTTAAAACTGTTGCCCTAGGTATTCCCTCTAATAAAATGTTCTTTTGAACTTCCTGTGACTGGCTCCCTGTCATTCAGGTATCAGCTTCAATGTGTCTACTTAAAGAGGCCTTCCCTGACCACCCAACCTGAATTGCCTCCCAGTCATCTCTTATCACATCATCCTACTCTCTCTCTTTTTTTGTAGAGTACTCATCACCTCTTTATTGATTTCAGAGAGAGGAAGGGAGAGGGGGAGAGAGAGATAGAAACCTCAATGATGAGAGAGTCATTGATTAGCTGCAGCCCACAACCTGGGCATGTGCCCTGACTGGGAATCGAACCCCGATCTCCTGGATCCTAGGTCGATGCTCAACCGCTGAGCCATGCCGGGCTGGGCTAATTATTTCCTTCCTGTTTCTTCTCTATACTCAGTGCTAGAGTATAACAATAATCCTTTTTTGAAAGAGTGTGGATACAGGTTGTGTTGCTGGAGTAGAAAATGTTTGGCTGGTGTAGGCAGGAGTGGTGGTCAGGGGGCAATAGGTAAAGGGTGTGAAGAAATAGGCAGAGTTCAAATCAAAAGACAACTCATATGTAGTTCTCAGGAACTCTGCCTTATCCTGCAGTAGTGGTAGAGATTATACAGTGATACGGCATGAGAGATGGTCAGAAGGCACGGGCAGATCATGAAAGGCCTTCACAATGCAAGTAAGAAAGTTATCTTTTCAAAGGGTTTTCGAAATACCTCTTACAAAAGTTGAGTACTTTCTACCTTTGTGTATCAAACAGTTTTTGAAATGGATTATTAAGTAGACTTGCTCCTTTACTTTGACTTAGTATAATTATTTTAGTCTTTTGGTCATTTATAAGTGTGGGTTTTGTAGAAATGACCAGATTCAGCTCATGGCATATGCTGAATGTACCTGACCAAATATAAACCCAGAAAGGATGAGGTTCAGAGAACAAGCTGCTTTTGCTCTTCACTGGACTTTGTCACCTGTGGATCTTACAGCAGACCAACTCTTTTCTGTTTCTAAGCTGCAAGCAAGGATTACTACCATCTCTGTACTCTTTACTTGTTTGTTAGAAACTCCTGCTGGATGTCTGGCTCATGGAAAGATTCTGGATGTATTCTGAAAAAAGTGATTTTGTACTCAGCTTTTTGTAGGTTGGATAAGTTGTATGGAGCTAGTGGACACGGGTTGCTTTCATCTCCAGGAATGGTAGAATAATACTCCAAAGGCAGTGGGCTCAGTGGCCTGATGAGATGTCATCATGTTATTGTGGTGCCCAATGTTGGTCATGTTTTTGCACTACTTTCGAGTAAACATGCATGATCCTGTCTGAATTTGGCTACATATCTTTTAAACCTAGTGATTCAGCTCACAGTAATATTAATATTGTGTCAAGTCTCTTCCACTGTGTCATTTGTAGACACCATCTGGGAATTGCCATCTGGGACATGAGATCTTGGCTGTCCTACAGAAGTCATGTCTTCAGGTTGTACACACCATATGTTATCACTGTGTGAACTGAAAGTAACCATTTGGTGTGATGTAGCTAACATTCTGGTTACATGTACCACCTCCTTTCAGTCACTTTAAAAGGTGATAATCTGCATCTAACCTGATTGCGTAAGTTTTCTTTTCTGGTTTTCCTTTTTGGTCTATTCAGCCTCCTTTGGAAAGTCTGGCGACGGTGGAAGAGACTGTGGTTCGAGACAAGGCTGTGGAGTCCCTGAGGCAGATCTCCCAGGAGCATACTCCTGTTGCTCTGGAAGCTCATTTTGTACCTCTGGTGAAACGCCTAGCGAGTGGAGATTGGTTCACTTCTAGAACATCTGCATGTGGTTTGTTCAGCGTTTGCTATCCCAGGGCTTCCAGTGCTGTCAAAGCAGAAATAAGACAGTAAGATATGGTATTTTTTAGTTATTTGGGGTCATTGGGAACTCATAGCTGACAATTTACACAGTACCCTGTTACCAGTGAGTGGCTGATAATGAGATAGTAAAATTGATGACATCACTTTTTATTGTCCAGTTGAATATACGGTGTTTTATCTTTGTTTCTCCCATGAGCAGAAGCCTAATCATGATGTTTGTAAGAGAAAACCTCTAAAATGCCTGGCCATATTTGTGGTGTTTTTTGTTGTTGTAGGGGGAGCATGTTTAATCAATGGTATTTGACAGGAAGTACTTTCATTATTTTATTTGCTCCAGGCACTTCCGTTCCTTGTGCTCGGATGACACACCAATGGTACGACGTGCTGCTGCTTCCAAATTGGGCGAATTTGCGAAGGTTTTAGAATTAGACAGTGTGAAAAGTGAAATCGTTCCATTGTTTACTAATCTAGCTTCAGATGAACAGGTAAGTTAACTCTTAGTATTTACGGTATACATATATGCTCCTCTCTAATATTTTAAAAATTTCATTGGGGAGTTTGGTTCTCATTTAGCATTCTTTTTGCAAACTTGATACTTAATTTTGGCCTCGCTAGAGTTTAATATGACCCATTTCAGTGTCTTTATATTTCTTTCTAAATCAGACTGTGATTTTCTCTTACATGGGCAGTTGTTGTAAAAGGGGAAGTCAGAGGAAATGGGATCCATAATTAGGAAGATCAAAGCTGCATTAAGGGGTAACATACCTTTGCTCATTGAAGGTTGGATTGTCATATGAGAGGGCAATGTTTCCTGGAATTTTTGACTTTAAGATAAACAAGCATAGTATGTATTAGGAAAGCTATTTGACCCTTTGCATCCTCTGTGTTGAGTGTATAGGATGATCTCGAATAATAGCTATTTTAAATCCAAGAATCTAGGTCTCTTTAGTGTAGAAATAATAATAATAGCAAGCACCCAAATGAAGTACTTATCTTTCTTGGCTTGTTAAAGTGTTTTACATATATAAAGTAATTCAGTTCTCACAACAGCCTCGTGAGGCAGATAACTCATTTTACATTTTAGGAAACAGGCACAGAAAATTGAAGTAACTTGCTCAAGGTTGCCTAGTTAGTAGTGGTGGAGTTGGGATTGGAACCTATGCAATTTGGCTCCAGAGTTCTCAGCCTTTGCAGTGAGGCTGTACTGCCTCTCTTTGTGGTGCTTCAGAGGATCAGACCCCAGAGTTTGTGGACTAGAGCTAGAGTCCTTTGGGGTTTTTAATTTGCCTAGTGTCTGCCCTAGAATCACATCATGTGTACAGGACCAAAACCACCAGGCACATGCTGATGAATCTCATTTTTAGATTCTAATTCTAAATATGGTAAACTGGACCAAAACCACCAGGCACATGCTGATGAATCTCATTTTTAGATTCTAATTCTAAATATGGTAAACTTGACTTCCAAATAATTTTTAAAAAATATTTTTTGTTGATTTTTAGAGAGAATGGAAGGGAGAGGGATAGAGAGATAGAAACATCAGTGAGAGACACATCATCGATCAGCTGCTTCCTGCACTCCCTGTACTGGGGATTGAGCCTGCATCTTGGGCATATGCCCTGACCAGGAACCCAGCCAGCAACCTCTTTGTTCATAGGTCACTCAACCTCTGAGCTACAGTGGCTGAGCTAATTTTTTTAAATTATTAAAATAACATAGAAAATAGCACAAAGTAAACAACTTAATTATTATAAGGTAATGCCATCCTGTAGATGTCATCTATGAAACACAACAGAACTTTGACAGCCACTACCCCAGAATCCCTCCGTAGCCTCCCTTCCAAACAACATCCCTTTCACTCCTCACTCATCACTCTCCACTCCCTAAGACTAACACTTTATCTTGACTTTTATGGTAACTACCCCCTTCTCTTTGTACTTTTATTACTCAAACATTATAGTTTAAAATATTACTGTACAACAAAACTATAATGTAAACTACCTTTTAATTTTTATTTTTCTAGTAGCCACATTTTAAAAAGTAAAGAACAGGTGAAAATAATTGTAATGATATACCCCAAATAATTGTCATTATCACTTTTCAGGTATGGGTAGTGATTACCACATTGGACAGCACAGATTTAGAATTCTCATTTGGGATTTTGTTGATTGTATTTCCTATAGTATAATTTAACATTTTCTTTGTCTTCTATATTTCTTGCAAAATGGTAGATAACTCTAGAATTGGGGGGTTGCAAACTTTTTCTGTAAAGGACAAGATAGTAAATACAGGGGTGGGTGAAAATAGGTTTACAGTTGCAGTGTTACATTCTTTTGTGTCATTAAAGTTATTGTAATAATAACTGTGTTTTTCCATACGAACAACTGTAAGTCTACTTTTGCCCATGTTCACCCCTGTATATTAGGCTTTGTGGGCCAGCCTGTGTTGGTACTACTCCGCTGTGCTGTTGTAGGACAAAAACATACATCATAATATGTAAGCTAATGGACATGGCAGTGTTCCAGTACAACTTTATTTACAAAACCTAGCTGTGTCCTGGATTTGGCCAGTGCTTGTCTCACCTTTGATATATTTGGGGTAATAAGATCACTTCATAGTGGGGTGTATTTTTCATCAAGAGGCATGTAATGTCTAGTAGTATTAGCAGCAATTGATGCTTAAAAAATATTAAGTGCTTAGTTGTAAAAATGTGTATGTATATTCCTTCCGACCATTGATAGAATTGCTGGTTCCATCGTATTTATTCATTGAAAAAATATTTATGGAGTGTCTACTACATATCAGACACTGTTCTAGTGCTGGGATTCAGTGTTAAACAAGGCATACAAGGTCCCTGCTGTCATAGAGTTTACATTTTACTGAAGGAAAACAGGTGATAAACAGATAAATAAGCAAAATATCAGGGATAAATGCTATGATGAAAATTGAGTGGGGTGATATAATTGGGAGTGGCTATAGGACATTTCTCTGGACTCGCTAGTCAGAGAAGGACTGTGAAAAGACATAAACTGAGACAAGAAAGAAGAATGCCAGCCATGACCTTTCCCAGAGTGTCAGCTCCAGGAAAAGAATGCCAGAAAGAGAGGACACATGTGGCTAGTGGTCCTAGGGTTGGAACATAGTGGGTGAAAGGGACTCTGGTAAGAGATGAGGTTGGAGAAGCTAAGCAGGAGCCTGGTCATGGAGGTCCTTTGAGCCAGGGTATTTAGAGTTTGGGTTTTCTTTCCTAGGTGCAGTGAGAATACACCTAGATTTTAAGCAGGGGTATGACTTGATGTAATATTACATTTTTAAAAGATCATTCTGGCTTCTGGGTGGAAACTAAATTGTAAGGTGGGGAGTGAGAATAGAAACAGGAAGTCCAGTTAGGAGACTTGCCTATAATCCAGTCAAGACACGGCAGTGAACTAGGGAGGTACAGTGAAAATGGAGAGAATCTGGAGATAGGTTTGGAGGTAGAGTTAGTAGAACCATGATTGGGTTGGGTGAGGGGAGGAGGCATCAAGAAGATCTTGATTTTTGGCTTGAGCAACTGGTTGGCTGGGGGTGTCACTGCTGAGATGGAGAAAATTCTGGGAGGAGCAGGTATAGGGGAAAATCAGGAGTTCTGGAAAAGAGGCAATTGATTAAAAAGTATTTATTGGTATATTTTCCATAGATGATAGTAGTCCCTTGATTTAGCATCATTTTGGGAATCCAAAAATATCTGTAGCAACTACTAAGAACCTAGTTCTGCCTTTTTTAGCCTATTCATTTGGATAGAGGAGTGTTTTGGGCATATAGTAATTTATTGTTGATCTATAATTTAAAAAATTTATAATATTTGGAAAATTGAGTCACTATTATCTTTCATGTGTATGTATGTGCATATATGTACGCATATATGTATGTTATATATATATAAAAAATATGTAGTTATATGTAAGATTCTGTCCTGTTTCTCCTGAAAGCGCATGTTTATGTGTTTTCAGTTTTTACTTATATAGTTATTCCCAAATCTGTAGTGTCAATTCCTAATTTCTCATTGACTTGTCTAGTTATATATTTCCACTTGTTCAGGAGACATATAGGTATCACATTGACACTTGATAGTTTACATATGGAAAGCTGAGTTCATTAATCTCTTATTTTTCTAATTTTTTCCTGCTGCATTTTTCTAGGCTTGGCTACCTCAAAGTTATTTTGTCCTTGATCCTCAACACTTAAATACAACTTTTAAAAAATTGTCCTTTTGTTTTTTTATGTGTTTCTTTCCAAGTCGTCATCTTATGCCTCAATTCCTATTACTGCAACTTCAAACTGAGTACAGACTTCCCCTGCTATCTGAAAGTAGAGCATTCCTTTGAAACCTTTTGTAAGCTGAAATGGGGTAAAGCGAAGAAGCAGTGACCTTAGGGATACGTCTTGCTAACAGCTGCACAAAATAAAATGAGATAAAACCAGGTGCTCACAGACACAGTTTAAAGCTGTGGCATCTTGATGCTGTGATGCTGAGTGTAGTTCCTGGGAAGGAGCTTGGCAGGGCCACTTGGCTTGAGGTATACCCTGCCTCTATGATGGCTCATGCAAAACAAATGCTGAATGCTCTTCTCACTTTTCACCTTTTTTTGTAAAAGCAAAATCCTTTTCATATTTCTTTCAGGTAGTGAAACATGTATTAATCTAGGTCGTTTGTAAAAGCAAAGCTGCATAAATGAACTTTTGAAAAGTGGAGGTACCTGTATTTTGAAAACAGCTTCCCAATGATTCCTTTGCCTTTATTCTCTTTCTTTGTCCTGACTTCTTATAAACTTGTACAAGCATAATTTTCATTTTTATCTTATTAGAGTGAGACTTTGGAGACATCATTAAAATGTTCTCTTTTTTTTACTTTACATTTCATTTTTCTTAATAAAAATTCTGTACTAGCCAGCATAATTATTTTGCTGTTTACTCATAGAATAAGTTCCTACCTTTATGGCTTTGTCATTCCATTCCAGGCAAAGAGAACAACTATTTCAAGACAGGTATAAGGCTGCATGTAGTGTAGTTGGTTTGTTTCTGATTTTTTTTTTTAAAATGACACCCACAGCACCACCCAACACTGTATACTCTGTGGCTGTCAGGAAATATTGTCTAACAGAAAGAAATTTTGTTCCTTTAGGATTCAGTGCGCCTCCTTGCTGTGGAAGCTTGTGTCAGTATTGCCCAGTTACTGTCTCAGGATGACCTTGAGGTTTTGGTGATGCCAACACTTCGACAAGCTGCGGAAGATAAATCTTGGCGAGTTCGGTATATGGTAGCCGACAAATTTTCAGAGGTAAAATTATTGCACTGACATTTTTTTAAAGTACTAAATAAAAAATTCAAGAAACCCACAAGTTTTCTGTTGTACCAAAAGTTTCTGAATTAATTCTTATGAATCAGAAGTACTTGTGGCAAAAATGTATACCTGAAGGTTGTGCCATTTTGTTTTGTTCATGTTAATTATTTTGTTAGTATGCATTAAAACTTGTACATATTCTTTTATAGCTCCAGAAAGCTGTGGGCCCTAAAATCACCCAGAATGACCTCATCCCTGCCTTTCAGAACCTACTTAAAGACTGTGAAGCTGAAGTCCGAGCAGCTGCTGCCCACAAAGTGAAAGGTTAAGGAGTTCAATTTATGTTGCAGCATGGGTCATTTATTTTGGCACATTTTTTTATGTCAGTGAATTTTGAATGTTTTTTCTAGAATATGTTTTCAAATAAATAGAGATGATTTTATTGTATAGAATTGTTACATCATCATATAAAACTACTCCCATTATATTTAAAACCAAACAGCCATTTTACCTTGTTTATATTTTTTTGAAAAAAAACTTTTCAGGTTGGACTAGTGTGACACACAGTGGCATCTAGGTTGAGGAAAAAGTGAATTTAGAATAAGAGCCATTTTTCTTTCTTGGAGATCATTTGCTTAAACATATGATTTGATTTAATTTGAAACTGTTGATAAAATGGTTAAATTTCTTCACTTTGCTCCTTGTAAATAAGCATTACTTTTTTCTGTTTATCTCTTTTAGATCTTTGTGAGAACTTGCCCATTGAAGGTAGAGAGACCATAATTATGAATCAAGTTCTGCCCTATATAAAGGTAAACCTAACTCTAGTGTACTTTTAGTTTTACTCTGCCCTATATGAAGGCAAACCTTCCCTCTTTTTTTGTTTGTTTGTTTTACCTTAAAGCTCTTTAAACTCAAAAGAGCTCTAAGATAAAACAAAGGATGAATGGGATAGATGTGTTAATGTGCAACATTGTTATCACTTATTAGTGCGTTATAATTGTAAAATGCTCTTTGGTGCATAGGTTTATGCTATCTGACAGATGATCTAAGAAACATTATCAACTAATCAATATTGAAATAGTTCTGTGTTTTTAAATTCCTTGGGAAATGATACGGGAATTTCTGTTGTCTTGCAAAAAAGACGCTTTTAATTTTGATTTTATTTTAGGAATTAGTATCTGATACAAATCAACATGTCAAATCGGCTCTAGCTTCTGTGATTATGGGATTGTCTACTATTTTGGGCAAAGAGAACACCATTGAACATCTTCTGCCTCTTTTTTTAGCTCAGTTAAAGGATGAGGTGAGTCTGGCTATAAATTCTGTTGCTTGATAGTCAGTGATTTAGTTTGGTTTTGGTTTGGGGTTTCACTAAAATAGCACCCAAAACAGGGATGATGGGATTTTAAAAAGTAACTATTTTAAACCAGTGACAGTCCTTGCGTTTGCGTATGGGTTGCAAATTTCCCTGAAAATGGGCATCAGGAGCCATTGATAGAGACTTAAAAATTTGTCCCTATTCTCTTTGTCTGATTCCTACTGAGAGGCACTGCTTTCTTCTTTCAGACGTAATCTATCTTTGTTTAAAAAGTGTCTTTCATTTACAATTAAATATAGTATCAACATTATACTGATAGCTAACATTTATTGAGTAAAACTATATATGCCAGGCATGATCATAAATGCTTTGGCATGTATTACTACATGTAATCCTCACAGCAATCTTTTGTGGTAGGTCTTCTTATCCCCATTTCACAGATGAGGAAGCTGAGGCACAGAGAGAAAGTGACTCACCCAGATTTGGCAGATCTGGGATTTGAATGCATATAATTTGATTCAGAGGTGGTTCTCTTTAGCAGGCTATAGACTTTTTATTGAGAGTCTAGTTAAGAGCAGTTACACTTACATGATGAGTTATTTGTGGACTCAGTATTAAGTATTTCTTCCAAAACTATATATATATTTTTAAACTTTATTTTAAACTTCAGTTAGCAGTTGTTACCTCATCCTGACAATAGGAAAATATTGGATAGAGAACTTGATTCTTATATGTTCTTTTGGGGCTTGTGTACTTGCAGTGTCCTGAAGTTCGTTTGAATATCATCTCCAATTTGGACTGTGTAAATGAAGTGATTGGAATCCGCCAGCTCTCTCAGTCTCTCCTTCCTGCCATAGTGGAGCTGGCTGAAGATGCCAAGTGGAGGGTCCGGCTGGCCATCATTGAGTACATGCCACTGCTGGCAGGCCAGCTGGTGAGTATGTGTGCTTTGGGAACTGAAGGGTTGCACCAAATAGTAGTGCAGATTTACCATGGCAAGTAGGATGCCCCAATAACTCATATGATTATGTTCATGTAGACACATCTAAGTATGGTGGGTCCTAGTTGCCTGTAGATGGCTTTTATTTTCATTAGTGTATTAACTTCTAACAAAAAGGAATTACAGAAACACACTTCACCTCACCACCATCTAAAGGAAAGCCGTAGAACACTACAATGTTGCTTGGTGTGTAGCGTGGATTTCACTGTTTGGCATCTCTATTGTGAGGGGAATATTTAACAGAAAAAGGGAATGTGGTTCAACGTAAGTCGGCTTTGGTTTCGCTCAGAACAGCTTCCCTGTTTGCCTGCATGCTGGCAGAATGTCCCAGTTACTGCTTTTCCTGCATTCTGGTGAAAGGGAGTGGAGGACTCAGACTAGAAAAGGAGTGTTGAAGTTGTTATGCTACTATTTTGGACAGAGTGCACATTATCAAATTATCTATTACTCTTTGAGTTTCATGATTATTTTCACTTTAACTCTTACCATGTTAATTAAAATTTCAATGCTGGGTTTTCTGGCCACATCCTTTCCTTTTTCCGTAGGTGCCCTAGACAGTTACAAGTTTGATATACCCTCACCCTGTTGGTGGCACTTTTTACAGTGTATTGTGACTGTTAAAAACTAGTTGGGGAGATAGACAAGTGATCTTTTTTAGGGTAAGAACTATGTTCAGTGTTTCATTTCAAGTGTCTACTATAGTTCCTGGCACTTAACATTTGTTGTGTTGGATAAATGAATACCTGGATATTTTTTGAAAAAGCTCATAATATCATGTCAGTTTTTAGCTCACATTACTGCAGTTTGTTTCCCCTCTCTCACCCCTACCTCCATTCTTTTCAGATCATAGCATATGGGATTTATTTTTTACTTTCTTAGACCACTGAATTTGTATTGTTAATTTTGGTATATTTAGTTTATGAAATGCATCTTGTGTTTGTCTGTGGCATCATACGCTTTATAAAATTTGAAGTGTCCCACTCTTCAAAAGGGGTGTTGGAAATATCAGTATGTAGCTAAAAGGGTCAGGCAAAGTCATCTTGTCACCTTTTCCCCCTCTGTCACTCCCAAATGCTGAGGCTCATCTCCTGTTCTTCACTGGTGACTGTCATGGGTTACCTATCCAGAATGGAAAGCAGCAGTGGCTAGCTGGTTGACTAAAGGCTGAAACAACAGTCCAGAAGGGAGGGTGAATCTTAGTACTATTTTTTAAACCTCTGCTCCTCTTAGATCTGGGAGGTCAGCAAAGGTTAGTAGCTCTACGGAGGAGTATGGAAGCAAGTAGATGGTGACTTTTGCTGACTTATACCTGTCGGTCAGGGCTGACATGCATCAGTCATGAAATTTTGTTAATACAACTTTAACTTCTTGTTAGTATATATTTTATCTTTATTTTTTATCTGTAACGATTTTTATATCTGGTAGTCAATTTATAAAATTCTTTCAAGACTATGTATGGCCTGGTTTATGAATTATGCAGAATAAATGTAAAGTTAAACCACAAAAATAAAGAAATAAAAGTTAAGATTCAAGAGCCCTGGCCAGGTAGTTCAGTTGGTTGGAGCTTCGTCCTGATGTGCCAAGATTGTGGGTTTGATCTGGTCAGGGCACATGCAAAAGTCAACCAATGAATGCATAGATATATGGAGCAGTAGATTGATGCCCTCCCCCTTCTCTCTCTCCC